GCATGGAGTAATCGCAATAATAAGTAGTACGTTACATACTTACTAAGCCTGTCTATGTAAATATAACAGATCGAACACCAGCCAACCCGCTCAGACAAGAAATATTTGAGTGGTGCTTACGTCATTATTCCTGATGCAGTTCAACCATATAAAGGATTCCTTATTCGTGTTTTCCTCTCACTTAACTGCACCTGCATGAAAACAGACATATATACATCTGTACTGGCGAAGAAATAATTTGCTGCTGAAGTTATATTTACCAATGCCTCTGTGTATATTTTTCGATTACAAACGAGCCGTTCTTCGAAAAATAGTAAAACTTCCACTTCCAACGACTCATATCGTTGTCCAGTATCGCTTTTCAATGCCTCCTGATGATTTGGTTTAACATGGAGATAGCATAACTTTTTTTTAGACAGTAGTTCCTGTCGGAGATCGAATATCAAATCATCTCTAAGCTCTGTTTTTCCATTTTTTCTAAGACTGAATATTTCTCGATATAGTCGAAATAACTACTTTATCTGTCTCCGTGTTCTGCTTTTTACCATATGCCATAAGTATTGATCAGAAAAACAATTACAGGATAAGTTAGGTTACGTTCACTGTTTCGTCTGTATCGATACACAAAATCACTGTTTTGTAACAAAGGACACGAGAATAAGCCGTGATGGTCAACTTTGAAACATGACCCACCGCAGACAAAATTGCTGCACAGAGGGTGGCAACATTTGGCTTGACATGAAAATACTGTGCTACAACTCGTCGCTTGAATGCAGAAGTATTATAAGTCAAAAAATGCATATTGTACAGGAGAGCTATTTTTCGTGTTTGTGCCTTGCCTAACATTTCTGAGAAATTTTGGATATAGAATGCTTTACCGGAAAAAAAATATGACTAGTCCGTGAAAGTAGACTTATATTTGTTGCTGACGTTCGACTTACAGTCGTTCTGTAAGTGATCATTTGCTCTTATCATAGTTCTGCAGCGAAATGACGCGCCTCAAGCTATTACGCCAAAATATCGTTCAAGACCAGTGGTGGGGGAACGCTTGCGCAGGGACCTACAATACCTCTGCATGCAATGTAGGTGACTATGACCTACAATGTCGTGTTGAAATCTGAAAAATGAAGAATTTGGACATACAATAGTTCTGCATTCAGGCGACGAACTAAGTCAAATGTAAAAAATTACAGAATGGTAACTGTGAAGATGCAATTCCACCAGTGTGCTGAACTGTGCGGCACCCTAATGCACAGTGTACAGCACAAATGTTTCTTCTGGTCGACTCACTCACGCAAACAATAGCAAATTGTGCGCAAATATTTCGGAAACGTTCGCGCACATCAGTTACTTTTGTGCTCGCGCACATGCAAGCAGTGGACTCGCGTCTTCGGGTACATACTTGTTGTTCGCGAACTCAGTTCTCAGTATTGCTTCCGCTCCTGGACTGAAAACATTTGTTTGTACGCCCACTTCTTTTAAGAAATCTAAAATGGACTGGACGAATGATAGGATTATAAAATTTATTCAAGCAATTGAAACTTATCCTCTTCTATGGGATTCCAGTCACCATGATTATAAAAACAGAAACAAAAAACACGACGCCACTCAAGATTTGGATCAAAGTTTCAATTATGAGTCGACTGAGGTAATGAGAAAATGGAAGATTATTTTGGCTCAGTACCAAAGAGAAAAGAAGGAAATAGCGGATTCAGAATCTTCAGGTTCCAGGTTTTCAGACATATTATTTGTTATTTTATATTGTTTCAAGAAGTAATGTTACTTTCTTTTGCAGTCGTGCTAACACAAATTTGATTTTGAAATCACCTGAAGGGTTATGTGTTTGAATTATAATAGTATTTGTAAGTTTTGTGACATATTTTTATGTTCTATTTCGGAGCTAAAATGTGTTCTGAGGGAGCGCCTTAGATAGTTTTAGTTAGGCTTTTGTAATATTTCTAATTTAAGATTCTGGCCTATAAATGGAATATTATCTGTTGGGCAATAAAAGCTATAAATAAGCCTTATTGAAACAGGGACACATTTTCTGTAGTTGGTGTCTTGCTTTGCAATATGAGGCCTAAGTGCCTTGACCAGTAACTCAAAATCTTCACACGATATACGAGTAAAATTTTCAAATCCACTTAAGGGATCTACTTTTATTTCTTCTACAAATCTATTCGTTTCGTCATTCCAACGCTGCAGAAAAGGTCTCACCCAACATCGCGGTTTTCTTCTTCGTTTCTGTTTAAGCAGACAACCTATTTAAAACACAAGCTGCAGCACAAAACACTACGTATTCCCGCCCATCCATATTAAGAACTGAAGTTAGTGAGAACTTTGCTTGGTAAACATGTTCGTGCACAAGTGTGCTACACTGTACGCTTACAAAAGTTATGCTCTGCTTTGGCGGTGGACACAGAAGATAAATTCGATACCAGTGAGCACATTCAATGCTGGAGTTTCGAACAAAATGTTTGTAAACAAATGTGCTGAACACTATTTTGGTGGAATCGTACCATAACAGTTCCGTACGTTAATTAATTAATTTTTCCGCATAGAAAATTTCCTGAAAATTAAAAATTTTGTATGGCTTCCAGTACCATTATTTCCGTATGGCACTAAGTGCATCGTGATTATTTTGTTGGCATCTGTGATACTAAAGAAAGCCGTAAAAATCAATTAATCTTTTCCGACCCCTTCTGGACAGAAAATTCAGTTTTCCCCTGTACTTACATGTACCTATCTCAAGTGACGGCATAGTGCTAGAAGTTATTTTTTCATGTAGTACTATCGTTCTGAGTAGGTTTCCTGCTGTATCGCATGACCACCCCATTTTTGCTCACAGATCCCGGTCTAACTTAAATGCGCCTACAGAGATTGCAGAATAATTGTTGCCGTGTTGTTTGTGACTTGCGTAAATTTGATCATATATCTAACAGCTTCAGGCTTTTATAATGGCCTAATCTCGATTTTCTGTTCAAATATTTTTACCTAACAACATTGAATCATGTATTAAATTCTAACTCACATATATATTTGAAGCCTGGTCCCTAGGTCAAGCCACCATAATGTCAATATAAGATATCAAAACCATTTTACAATGCCTTTGGACGGTCGTAACATCACTCATTTATAGGTCTTCCACGAATAATGCAGTGTCTCTGTAGCACGAATATCGATATATCAAATAATAATAGCATCCATTTCAAACTGTATCTCAGACTATTCTCTAGAAATCCAGGTATAGGATTTATGAATAAATGCCCTGTGATCAATAACCAATATTTTTTTAAGTTAGATTAAAATGTGTTTGCATGACAAATTAGTATTAAGCTTTAGTTTTTAGTATGGTTGAGTGTAAGAATAGCTTTTGCTAAACTCCGTCAATAAAGCCATTTACTATTATTATACTAAATTTTTCACAAAGACGATGAATCCATCTTCGGTGTAGACGTACAAATCTCTGCCTGAGCGACTTAGCTTAATACTTTGCGAAGAATGTGCGCGGTGCCAAGAAGGACTATTTTCTGGATTAATTTCATTGACAGATTTTTGTCGATTGTTCCCAGAGCGCGTACTATCATCGGTGTTGTGTTCGTTTTAACTTTCCACATTCTGCTAACTTCCAGTGCCAAATCTTTGTATTTGAAAGTTTTTTCAGCTTCTTTCATTTGAATGTTGCGGTCCTCGGGCACTGAGATATCGATGAATTGATATGTCCTACTTTTTCTATCATCACTACGATGTCAGGTCGATTAGCATTGATTTGCCGGTCTGTAATGATAGGAAGGTCCCGCAGAATTGTAACATCTGCCTCATTCTTCTCCCTTCTTCACGTTGGTTACTGTTTCTGAATTATGATTGTAATATTTATCGGTAACTTTAATTTCGTATGCACTGCAAATATTCCAGCGGATATTACTTGCTACCTTATTGTACTTCTTCACGTATCAATGGCCGCTAACTTTGAACATCCTGCGATTATTATTAGTATTATTATTATATACACACTACAAATTTCTTTTAAATATATGCTTAGAAAAAGCGAAACTTCATCTATTTCACCTTGTAAGCAGTTTAGTGTCATTACAGTCACTACTTTATATATGATGCAAAAGCGAATACCAAAAAAACTTATTTACACTACATAGAAATTTTGCACGGTCAACAAGGAATAATCTCGCCCCTTTGAATCATTAATTTATTAAATGAACCTCAAAGTAATGCGAGCTGTGTGTATATGAACGGAACAAGCACAGTAACAAAGGAAGCCCACGGAGTTTTATTTTAGATTTGTTTAAAACTCGGCAAAACATGCTAGAATTTCATGGCCTACTAAACATAAAGGTGTGACTGCTTTGTTATAATCACACTAGATTTTTCCGACGTTTATGTACGTATGCGAAAAATCGTTATGTCAACATTTTTTTTTCTTAAGCTAGTGCAAATCTGATTACCGATGATCAATGTATGTACAAGTATAACAGGCGAGGAGATGGATTCTTTTCATTGAGGGTAACATGTACATGTAAACACGTACACATTTTGGAGCACTTTACTGCGATGTGGTACTACCTTGTTTAACGAACCACCTATCATCTTGATAGGCAATCATAACGCTCACTGCTGGTGTAGAGAAGCATTTTATCATTCTCACTTAAGCAATATCAAACGGGGAAAACTAAACAGAGCGCTTCTACCACTGAGCCAGATCCTCCTGGATTGCTTCGAGGTTGTGTGATTGGCCCTTAGTTTATGTAATACTATACTATCGACTTACGAGGTTTTATAGTCCATTTCTCTATCTGCCGTATTCACCAATTCGACGTTTGCCAGACTGTTACTTATCAGTTGTACAAAATATAACAGTTTGTTAAACAATAGTGGTATTCACCAAGAAACTGACTGTCATACAAAAATCTTAAATTCCTTTAAGTTGGTGCCTCTTGACAAAAAACGAGAGAACCACATCTAACCTCACCTTATAGCTGCTGTGTGTTGTCATGTGGTTGTCATTCTCAGTGTCAGTTTTGTAATGGTTTTGCATCATGGAAAAGTCTTAAGAGATCAGCTAAATATGCACCAAGAGACAGTAATTTCCTTGGTTGAAAAATATCGAAGTATAATTGAAAACAGAAAGACTAACTTGGTATTTAACAGGCAGAAAAATGAGTGTTGGGAGAAGCTTGCCTGGGTATTCCATTCAAACAACTGTCAGAACTGGCCAACAACTAAAAAGCAAAATAATCTAAATCTGAAGACAAGGTATCATTACTCTCACAGGATTTGGATAAAGAAATTAACTTGTTCTCTTTTTTCAGGTGAATTTGTTAGTGGGGTATCTATTTCTCGAACTACTACATCTGATGAAAAAGTTTGAATCCCTTTAGTTATATTAAATAAGAGTATATGAAGTATTTATCACTAAATTGAATTACTATTTCGGTTCCCATGAAGATAAATACAAGTGCCGATGATAACTTATTGGCAAAGTTATCCGTATTGAATGTAATATACATAAAATAATTTACATGAGAATTTTATTTTAAACGGGTAGACACTTTGCAGAGAAATCTTTACATGATAATTAATTTTTTCATGACAACATAAAAATTGATGAAATTATTGAGTCTGTTGTTGCAGTATTTTGAGATCCAATTCGGACCTGGATATCTTCAATTTGTTCCATTCCAGGTCGATTCTCAAAAAAATCGATGGTGTCAGTTTGTTCTAAGGACATGTTGTGCAGCATAGCAGTTGCCACAATAACCTCACATATAGTTTCAAGTTTTAGCCCCGATATTAAGATTTGGCTTTCTTTTGAGACTGGCTAGTTCCTTTCATTTATAAGTTCTGTAACATTTTGCAATACAGTTTCCAGTCGCCTAAATATATTTTTATTCATTCTAAATCTTCTTTTGAACTCCAAATCATCTATTTCAATCAAGGGAAACCTCATAGTTCTTACAATTCTTTCTCTCGGGATAACTTCAATGTTTCTCGTGTCTGTTTCCGAAGATTCAAATATGTCGATAATATCAATTCTACTGAGGCTACCCATTTTGATACTTATACAAAACAAGCCTTACTCGCTGTTTGCTGACTGTATTTTGTAAATTACTTCTACGAAATCTCCAGGCCAAATAAAGTCGGGATGACACTTTCGACTTTTTAGTATTAATCAGTCAGTTAGTGGTAGTGGTAGTGTTAGTATTTTCGTTCAGACTAGTGTATACAACGAAGCAGTCGTCTGTTGAAAATCTCGCTATCTCAATCTATACGTGTCGGAGGTATGTTGGAGTTTGCTGATATACATTACAGCAAACCTCATCATATCCTTCTTCCTCCAGACAGTCTTTTGATAATGTTCATTCAAGGCTGCAGTGTGTGGAAATGATGGGGCTGAAGCAGGAGGCGTGTTTCTAGAAAGACTGTAGGCAAATGTGCAACACGTTTCGAGGCTAATCGTCCCATTATGGAAAATCTTCCGAAGGGGAGGGTAAATGATTGTGTTACATAATCCTGGTCAATAATTACATTAACCATTAACTAATGTATTTCCCCTTTACCATTTTTACTGTAACACCGATCACCCCCAATACTCAAGTGCGCTTTACCTGAGTCCCTTCATTGTTTCCACCTGGTTAGCTTGCGATCGAAGTTGTAAAAATCCAGGAAATGGGGTCATCTAGTTACCGCCGGATTAGAAAAGAGCAGTCGGATAAAAGCGCTAAATGTGTGTTACTGGGGGATAAAAGTCAAGTTAGAAGATATCCTTTGTCAGAGATGGTCTTTACGGTAGCCACTCTTATCAATTTGTTAGATCCAACAGCACCGGAGTAGGTTAGTTTATATAGTATATAGGTATTAAAGGAGATATCTATATGAGCGCAATACTACACGGTAAGAGTTCGCTACAAGCAAACCAAAAGTTAGATCTACCAAGAAGCAGGAAAATACAGATATTGTCATCAGTTGGGAATTATTTCTGATGGGATAACAGATAACTGGTTCAGTATTTGCTTGTCACCCTTTTCTTCTTCTTCTGGTATCATTCTCAATGGACGATGATGATCATCTTGGCCCATATCAACTTATCGAACGCCGATCTGAAAAATTCAAAATAAGTGAGTCCGGTCCACAAAGTGCGTCTTCGTCCTGGGGTAAATGCGACATATTTTCACAAACGATACTGGATTCTAATGTTTGTGATTCTTGTCATAGTTTGTCACTGTGTTGTCACTTGTATTATTTGATTTAAGATACGTGTTGGAAAAATAGAGAAAACTGAGTATTTTCAAGCAACTCATCCTATTACTACTTTGTCATCTGACGTTTGTTCGGTGAAAAAGCCTCAAACGCGTCATTGATTGTCATATGTCTTAGCTTCGCGAGATTTTGCAACTGTTTTGTATAACTTGTTCTAGCGGGCCACCTCGTATATTGGACCGCTTATAATTCATCAACCTATCATAAAAACGATATACTACGTTAGAAATGTTCACCTGCCACCTTTATGCTAGAGTGTGGTATCAAAGCATCGATTTCAAAACCATGAATTTTTGGCTTGCTAACTTGACCCTTTAAAATAAATAAGTACGGGGGGTACTTTTTAAGAGCATTGGTGCCACACTCCAGATGTCAGACGGTCGACATAGGCGACCGCTAGATTATTATCACCTCCTCGAACAAACAAGAAACGAGTGCACCTACACGAAGTTTTGCATCCAAATGAAATTCGTATATTTTTTCCCGAACAGTTGTTGGATTAAAACTGATTTCTCAAAACTACCTAACACTTGGTCTGAGTCTACTACTATGACTACTACCTGCACGATTCATAGATAGAACTGAAGTGGCGTATATGAAGAAAACGCTAAATGGCTCTAAGTGGATGGAATATTGCATGCACTTTTTATAGTTAACACTTTGAAAAATATGTAAAAGTTCTAACTCGACCTAATTGCCACCTAATATTCATTACGCGGAGTAAGTGTTCGGCTGTTGCTGAACTGACAAGTTTTTTTTTATAAAGGTGAACTTTTATTATATAAAGCTTTTGAGATTATATTGTACTAGATTCAGCGCATTCAGCATTCCAATAGATGGAAAAAAAATTAAGATAGCAAAGCGACAAGCATATTTTTAAACACATACCGTAATTGGACAGAATGATGACTTAACAGGCTATATAACTTTTCATAGATTAAATGGGTAAATTTTGCAGTATTTGCCTTAGGAAAACTAAATATTTCGATTTCAGTTTTTATAAGCGCAAGATAGATATTTTTCATTTTTAATACGAAACGGTAAAAACGTAATCGGTCATGTTGTGACGTCATACAAGTTGTACACAAAGAAACGTCGTCCGTAGGTCACTCATGGAACAAAGTTGTTTTATTTATATATTTCTAAAAAAACTTCTAGCAAACGTACAAATTTCTCGTTTTACTGAAAAAAAAAACATGGACGTTGGATTCGTAAAAGCAGAAAACATAAATTGACACATTGATGGTTGGTAATTGTTTTACCTTCAACCGAGATTTCGGCTGAGCTGAGGAACATCAAAGCTTTTATGCGAGTCCAGTGCATCTGATGTAATGATGGTCATAAAAAAAAGCAATACACTTACATAACCTTTCTTTTCAGAAGTCATTCAAAACTAAGCTCATCCGTAATAGCCTCTGAATAATTTTATCTACTATCGTATTTCTTCTTACACATCTGTAAGGGCATCGTACGCTGATAATGCCGTAGGTTGACTCCTACTTGAACGAGACGATAAAATCTGCACAGCAAAGTGTAAAATATGTCCCGAACATAGGGCATGCTCCAAGCAATACAGTGATGCGTATGTTTACTTCCCTGGCTAGCGTCAGCTTTCTTGGGGTCCTTATCGATGTGTTTTTACATTCTGGGACGATACAATGACGATAATTACTATCAGGTAACCAAATAAGTTCGTGCGGTTACTGTATATCGCACATTGCTATGGATGTTGTTGATCGATAGCGATTGCTTGTTACCTGTTGTCACTTTAGTATGAATCCTTTTCTCACACACATAAAAAGTTGCTGAAAATTGTTACATTCTTAATCGGTTATTAACCTGCGACGAAAAATGGATCTTGTATTCGAATTCTAAGCGTTCGTATCATTGGTTGTCGCCTACTAATTCGGTACCACACACGCCCAAGGCTTCCTTGCACCTAAAGAAGGTTTTGTTGTGTGTTTAGTGGACAGCAACTGGAATTGTCCATTATGAGTTTTTGGAAAGAGGTCAAACCATTACTGCTAACTTGTATTGTGAGCAGCTTCAAGAGTACAAGCAGCACTCATCCAGAAACAGCCTTCTTTGATCAATCGGAAGAAAGTGAATATTCTTGCAGGATAATGTTAAACCTCATACCGCAAAAGTGACCCGAGGAAAAATTTCTGAACTCGGCTGGGAAACGTTACCGCACCCGCCATATTCTCCCGACATTTCGCCCAGTGATTCTCACCTTTTTTGTCTCTTGACAACTGAATGAGGCACCGACAGTTCACAACTCGAGATGGTGTAATAAATGGAGTCCGCCTATTTTTTGACCCCAAATCCAGGGAGTTCTACAATACCGGCATACAGAAATTGGTTTCGCGTTGCCAAAAGGTCATGTGTCTTATTGTTTCTTAATAAAAATTTATATTTTTCTACTAGAAACCGCACGAACTTATTTAGTTACCTGATATATTTCTCATGTGAACAGTCACATTTATATGTTTACAAACTTGAGAAGTTATGCTGCTGTCAGCCACAAAAGGTTTGACGTCAGAACACTTTAATATGGGCCAAACATGGTGGACAGTGTTTTAGCATGTCTAAGAAAAATATATTTTTGGAGTTTCAGAGTATTTTAGTTCTTTAAAAAATATACTAACCTTTTTTTTGGTTTGATAAGAAATATCAAATATTCACTCACACACACTCACACTTAAAAAAAAGTGTCAAGTAGCATATCGTGCTATCAAGCCTACACAATAGAAAGTTTGCGTTTAAAATTTGCCATTTTGATTTTTCTGTATTTTGAGTATATCCAGAGCTACTCGCACTGTTGAGACGAACATAGAGACACCTAGGATGTCAAAATTCACCAATCCGTTTAACCTGTAGCTCGTGGACAGGATTTTTGAGGTTTGAATTTTCGACTCCAATCTGCCATTTTATATAAATATTAGTATACCCAGTGTCACCGGCACTGTCAAAATCCATTAAGTCATTTAAGCTGTAGTACCGTGAAATAGGAATTTACTTTTTTAAATCCGCTATTGTGCTTATATAAAAATTAAATATAGTCGATGTCACTTCCACTGCTAACACATCAAGCCTTTTGGACTGAAACCTGAGAAATAAATTTTTTTGTCGACACACCTACCTACGCTCGGAAAACGTAACCTTGTGAGGTAGATGGGTAAAAATTAGGACATAAACAATGCT